ATACCCTGTGGAGGGCTGTGGACAAGATTTACGTAGGTGAAACAGCAAGAAACCTCCGACACCCGCCTCATTGAACAAATTACGCATGTAGGAGATATTGAACAAGCCTGTGTACAACACCGAAATTCCACCAAATCATCTCATGTAATTCAGAGAGACGCCCAATTAGTGATCAAAGAAAACTAATTTTCCGCAGACGCAAGTGCCTCAAAATCAGCACTGATGCTGTTTCGAATACAATAAACAAACAAACGGCAGCTTCACCATCTCCGAAGTTTAGCAATAGAATCCTCCGAAAAACAGGAAACCCTGCCATCACATAGTCTCTCCTGTTATACTACACAAAGCACATTACTGAGAGTGAACACTGAAAAAAACCTGCCTCTTTCCAGTCTATATTTGTCCAACCTATTTTTATGTTACCCAAGTAATAGCTTTTATATCCTTTTACTCATGTACGAATTAATTGCTCTTCCTTATTGTATTATTTTTGTTACTACTACTACTACTACTACTACTACTACCACCACTAGTGAACAACGAAATGTTACCTCACTAGTATTGCACCTCACTCAGAGCCTTTATATACCCTCTGTGTCCATGTATTGTTTGTAATGGCTTGATAAAGCTCCTGGAGAGCGAAACGTTGCCACAATAAATGTCACATTAGTTGCACTTGTGTCCTTTTATTTTACAAGTCTAAACTTGCTCATTGTACAAAACATCCATACTTATTATTGTGCCTACTACGTACATAGAACAATAAACTCGGATATAAATCCTCCCCTCAAACTTCTCCTTCCAACCTCAACAGAACACATGACCATAACACAAGGCACAGATCACTCTTTGATGTTCCTCGTGTCCATCTCACACTATGTAAAAACTCAATGCACATAAAAGGCCCAAAAATCTGGAATTCATTACCTGTGAATATAAAAGAAACATTGTCTGTTTATCAATTCAAGACTTTTTAAAAACCACTTGCTCACCCACAGCTAAATAAATATTAAATAACTGTATTTCATAAAAGTGTAACCTGTGACCCAATCAAATTATTTTTTTTAATTACATTACCTAATAGAATAATCCATTCTCTTGAATGCGCAGTAACTTATCTAATGACCATATAACCTGTTTCTGCACTACAAATAGTATATTGATAATTTTGTTTTATTATACATTGTTATGCTACGAATTTGTACAATTATAATGCCTCTTAATTGAACGGTTCAAATTTCATTGTTTAAAATACTCATTTGTACTTCATGTTGTATTTTGTTTACTCTAATTTTTACCACTGAATATATCATTGCTTAGTTAATCTTAAGTTAATTTTAAGCCTGTCCATAATGCTCTGCATACAAGGACCTTTGGCACGTACACCCAACTATAATTCCTTGTGCAACTATGTATCATGTTCAAATAAAGTACAAATGAATTTTACTTCTCTAGTATATCTTCTTTTATTGTAACTGTTTTTACATAGGTAAGATACTTACTTGGTCTGACTTTTTTTGGGTTATCCTAGGTTCTCTACACATTTTGCTGCTATGTATGACATTTATTAACTGTTTTTGTGTATGACTAAATAAACTCATGATGTTTCCACCCGTACGGGGAATGGCCCAGACCTCAATGTGTGAGCTGAGTGCGCTAGCAATCGAGTACAAATCAGTCATGATTAAAAACCTGGTGCTTTCTGTAATGTATGTCAATAATATCACATTTTCTGTACCAAATGTAAATAATTCTTTAAAAAAATTAAAGTTACTTTACAGTCCTGATGATTCACAGGTGTTGGGGAAAAAATATTTGAATTTTCCGAAGCTATAGGCCTAATAGGTGTTTAATGTGTCGATATGGGTCAAAAATGTATTTGAAAATGGAATAGAACCAAAAGTTTCCTCTGCCCTGCGCGGATGTGCGGGGGAAGAGGTCGACTCGGGGCATGGGGCGGGGAGTGTTTTGAATGTAGTGAAGAGGCTGTGAAAACATGGGGCCAGGAAATTGGCGTTCACGGCGGCCTAAGGATTTAATATAGGCCTCACTTCATAATACGAAGTGTCGTAACTGTTCTGGTGAAGAGTGAGGGAACGTGATTTATGGGACCACCGTAATAAAAATGGTAAAATGAGTGAATAATGGTAGGACCGGTGGTGACTGGCGCGTCGCCATGGAGTGTGTCCCCGTGTTAAAATATCCGTGGTTTAATCACCACTCATCGGTCTCAGATCTTAATTGAGCGGCCTCCAATGTGTATAATAATTAGGAGACATTTAAACCGTATTTGGGGGGCTAAGAAATAATCAGTGATAATAACACCAAGTTAAGAGAATGGTGAAATGAAATGAGTCGCCGTTCTCAGTGAGCATCTGCTTATCTCGTGTTCCTGTCTCGAGGATAGTGAAGTTTTTTATGGAGTTACGACTTTAAACCCGGGGCAAACCAACGGATACCTCGTCCTGCTGGGAAAAAGAACCGTGTCGGTGTAACGGGCATCGAAATGAGATGGGGAATGGAGGAAATAAGGAGCATCAGTCACCCACAGTTAAAGACCTTTTCTAGTTATAGCAACTGAAACGGGCCCAGAGGATGTTGTAATTGGAAGGTTAGGGGTTATCCAGCTACCAAGTGACCACCAGAGAATATCTGGTAAGTGGGGGGACTATGTACAAGTTTTTTTCCTTGAGGGATATATCCATGTGTAACCCCCCTCCTTCTTCATTAAACTAATATAATCTATAAGTCCACAATTAATTAGTAGCGCCGTACTTGTGGGGCTACCCAAATTTTACTGTCTCGGATTTTGTTTATTTATTTATTATTTATTTAATTTATTTAAAATTTAGAACATAAGGGGTACAAAAAAAAAGGAAAGGCAGCATGCCAAACCACTTATATCATAGCATTACGGGCGGGCTTACAATTAATTTAAAGGGATTAATAAGCAATGATAAAATCAGTGATAAACTTTATTGTAAACGATAATTTAAAAAATACAAAGAGTATTACAAAGACGGGTCATAGGTTGCTGCTTGCTTTTCATTCATAGAATGGAGTATTCTTTAGGTAGTGTTTTTAAAAAAAAAAAAGTTGGGTTTAAAATTTGTGTGATAAATTGTGGAAAACATTTTGGATATACAAATTTTTATTTCAGTTTTTCAGTATTTATTTTTGGTTTTGAGTGAGTAATGAACTTTGAAGAGACTTAATTTTTTGAACAGGGGTGTTTTTTTTTATATTTACAGGTAATGAAATTCCAGATTTTTGGGGGCTTTTATGTGCATTGGGTTTTTTTTCATACTGAGATGGACACGAGGAAAACAAAGAGTGATCGTGCCCTTTTATTATGGTATTTTCTGTTGAGGGTTGGGAAGGGAGTTTAGGGAGGGTTTAATACAGAGTTAAATGTTCTATTATGTAAAAGTGCAAAAAAGTATGGATGTTTTTGTATGGTGGTAGGTTGAGTGTTTTTTAATATTGGGGGGAGTTGCTGCCTGTATTGAAATTTTTATCATTTAATGCAGCCTTTTGTTGGGTAATTAGTTTGAATGGTTAGTTGTTGTTGAGCCCCATGCAAAATTTTCCCAAATAAGATAGGGGTAAATAAGAAGTGATAGAGGGCCAGGAGGGCTGACTTGGAAATAGTACCGATCTTCGATGTATCCCCCATCTTGGAAATTTTTTTAAAATTTGTTGTATATGTGTAAAATTTGGTTTTTTCGAGGGGATTCCTAAAATTTTCCCCTATTAGTTTGTGATAGGTATCCGTTTTTTCGTTATTTAAGAGGTAACGTAGCTCTGCACCAAAAGAATGAAGTAGGGTTTTGTCAATGTTTAGTTAAGTTTGTTATCCTCATCCAGGTGATATTT